ACGGGCAAGAAGCTTGGCTCGATCGTGTTTGCCTCGTACGGTACGCCGTCCGGCAACCTCCTCGATTTCCAAACGGGCGCGTGCGACGCCCCGACGTCGATGGAAGTCGTGGCCTCGCGCTGCATCAACCAGCAGACGTGCCACCTCACAGCGTCCGACGACGTGTTTGGGAACCCGTGCGCGGGTACGTTCAAGGCCCTTAGCGTCGAGGCGCAGTGCGTCGGCCTCACCAACACCCTCGTCGGTGGTACGGTCGACCAACACGAGACTCTCTTGCTGCAGTGCCCGCAAAACCAGAAGATCTCGCTGGTCGCGTTCGCATCGTACGGCAGTCCCACGGGCACCGTCGGCACGTTCGAGACGGGTTGGTGCGACGCATCGTCGTCGGTTGGCGTCGTGCAGAGTCTCTGCGCGGGTCAGTCGTCGTGCGCGATCCAGGCCGATGACTGGTACGTTTCAACTTCTTGGTTATTGCGTCAGCAGGTGTACTCATCGTGTCTCTAGGGTCTTTGGCAACCCGTGCGACGGAACGTTCAAGACGCTCAGCGTCGCAGTCGAGTGTGCCGACAGTAGCTCGGCGCGCCTTCGCCGCCGTCTCTAAAGCGAAGTGACTTTGTGTTTGTAATCCAAATGCACATTTGTTTTACGTTGACGCCTAATGAGCTTGTGTCCCCGTCGACGAATGGAGCAGTAGCAAGGCCTTGGTGCCTTGATGCGACTAGACTAGTAGCATCATACGAACGGGTGACTTTGTGTTAGCGGCAACATATCACTCGGTCACCATCGTGCGCCTTTAAACTTCATCGCTTGATGTAGAAGCCAACGCCGTTGAATGATCGCTAGGGTTGCCGTTGAAGCAACTTTGCACCCGAGTCTGGTGCACGGCGCCATGGCGACGACGTGTCCAGATCGCCAAATATGAGACTTACAACTCGACTTGGCAAGTTTCACAACCGCCGATCGCAGTCGCACCACCGACGCGCATCAAGTGGTCAGAGCCGTGGGTCAAGGCCGA